TGGTGACTCCCTGCAGGTGTGTGACTCCCTGCAGATGTGTGACTCTCTGCAGGTGTGTGACTCCCTACAGATGTGGTGACTCCCTACAGGTGTGGCGACTCCCTACAGGTGTGTGACTCCCTGCAGATGTGGTGACTCCCTGCAGGTGTGTGACTCTCTGCAGGTCTGGTGACTCCCTGCAGGTGTGTGACTCCCTGCAGATGTGTGACTCTCTGCAGGTGTGTGACTCTCTGCAGGTGTGTGACTCTCTACAGGTGTGTGACTCCCTGCAGGTGTGTGACTCTCTGCAGGTGTGTGACTCTCTGCAGGTGTGGTTTGTAACCAGTTAGACCAGAGCTTTTTGTGGATTTTTGAAGACATACGTCCAGATATCAGACAAAAGCCTGAACCAAAGGTCAATTCTTGCAAACCTAAATGATGCCCGTAATCTGGGGCTCCAGGTGTTAAATGTGCACTGATGTGTCTAATTATTGTACCCCCAGAAGAGGAAATGAAGGGTGGGGGCAGTCAAGAGCAGAGACATTGATTTAGGTGTTGGGGGGGGGGGGGTGGAGGAAGACGAGGGTGTGTGTTGGGGATGGGCGACTCAGCAGAAAGCAGAAAGACATGTGAGCTGCACGAGGAGGCATGAATGAGATGATGCTGAGGGATTTTAATCTCCCCCTCTTCTCCCCCCTGCTCGTTACGTTCTCTGCCTCCCCCTCACAAACCCATCCCCTTATTCTTCCTCCCATTCTTTAACTCTCCCTCCCCACGCTTTGTCTTTCTCCCCTTAACTTTCTCATTCTCCTCCGCTCCCCGTCAGCTGCAGTGCAGAGATCTCTGCCGAGGCCCCCGTCAGGCTGTCAGGTGACCGGGACGGAGGCTGTGACATCACCGCCTCCTCGACCGACTGTCGGCCCTCCGCCGTTGCCATGGTAACGCCGGCGACGGCCCGCAGAGCTGAAGCTGGCGACGAGGCGCTCGCAGGAGGAGAAGGAGAAGAGGCAGGAGAATGTGTAAGGACTCTCTGTTTTATCTTTCTCAAAAATGTTATGTCTGTTTCATGATTGTTGCTTTGCTGCACAGAAATGAATCTACGTAATGATGCCTGGACCGCGACACACACAATTGCACGCACGTCGCTCGCACATCTTGTTGCAGAGGTATTTTTGCTGAGACGGGAACAAGCGTGCAGAGCTCTGCTCAGAAACAGCTCGATTTCTGAGGATGCTAGCAGAAGGATGGAGCCTGCCCCTCGGCAGGTTCTGGTACCAAGTCAAAGCTTCGGTTCTGCTCCTCTCCGAGCCTGACACCAGCCTGAGCAGCAGCTAGCATCAAGCCCCTCTTCACATCTGCTGACAAACACAGCGCTGCATCTAGATATCTTGGAGATAGTTCAGAGAACAGATGTTGAGGTGAAATAGCTTTTTCTTGATTTGTGGGCTCTGAATTTGCGTCTTGCCTCTGCTCTCCCAAAGTAACGGCTGCTTTGTGATCATACAGCTGAATACTAATTATTCTCTTTTATTTTACCTAATCACTGCGAGCTTAATGTCACAATGTTCTCCGACGTTCAGCGATGGAGCCCTCTTTGTGCTTTTCAGTCGTGCAGCTGGTAGGCGTCAGAACTGTCCACACTTAGGGGGAAGGTGGTTTATGTAAAGCCAACAGCATCCATTTTGTATAAATTAAATGTCAGTGATGTGTTTAAGACCCCTGAGCAGAGTTGAACTTTCCACCTCAGGTCAAGTCTCGGGGGGTTGGACACGCGTGTCCACGATGCTTCGTTGTTGAGGGAATTCCTCCTACGGCCTGCAGAAACCCCAGGAGATGCTTCGAGTTGTCTCTTATCTCCCAGGCTGTTTGATTTGAACGTGAGATAAGAGCGTATCTTTAGCTGTGCGGCCTTGCTGCGCTCACACACTTGGCAGACGATCACAGCTGTGTCTGAGAATGAAATCTGGATTCCTGTCACTTCTGCAAGCTGGGCTCAGAAGGATCACTTATTATTTAGATCCGTTATGTAATGACGCCATCACAGCAAACCCAGAGCTGCCGCTCATGGAAACTCGGTGTCGGCTGTGGTTTCTGTTGTGTAGTCTTTCTCCCATCACGTCCTCCGAGAGTTTTGCTCCATATCACTTGTTGTTATAGAGACGTGGCCATTTGATTGACGCTCGTGTCTTTTCCAAATGGCAGCCCGGCGGTCTGGGCTGCAGGCGCTCCAGCTCGGACGCAGCCTATGAGCTGGCTGAGACGGTCCGAGCGCAGCGCGAGTGCCGCCTGCGGCCCCACTACAGTGACCCCATGCCAGCAGACGCCTCCAAGCGCAAACAGCTGGAAATGAAGATTGCTGCCGCTGCACGACTCCACAGCCATCGGCGAGACCGTGACAGAGACAGTGGTGAGTACAGCTACAGCCATTCTTAGACCTAAATAAGTCAGATCCTGTTTTTATATGTGTGTGACTCCAGACTGCATGTCTCATTGGATTCACTAAAAAATAAAAGGCTGGTCTGATTCTTATCAAGAGAGAAAACCTCTAGGCAGGGCTGCATTAGCAACCTCAGGGGCCCCTGGGCACCGAAGCTCACAGGGCCCCCCTCGCTAACATAACACCAGTTTTATTATACATATACACACACACACACATATATATATATATATATATATATACACACACATGTGTGTGTATAAATATATGTATAAATCCTGCAGTAATTCAGGCAAAAGGAGCCCCAACTAAGTACTGATTGCTGTACATGTTCATACTTTTCAGTTGACCAACATTTCTAATAATCCTTTTTCTAATTGGTCTTAAATAATATTCTAATTTTATGACCAGCACCTGTATTATCTGCACAATCTCAACAGTTTATATTGACCACCTCACTTCACAGAAAGCACAATCGTTGTGTTTTTCTGCTCTTAACATCAGCCCTCATGATCTCACAGTCTGGCACCACGGCTGTGACGTAAGTTCAATCATTGAGGGTTCACTGACTTTCCACATTGATTCCTCTTACGCAATGAAATAGCCCAATCCATTTGTTTTTAATTCATCAGACAAGCTGCTAGTTAGAGTCCTAGGTCATGGAATTTAAACTGAAACGTGTTTAACTCGCATGCATAACATTTAACTATAGGCAGTGGTGAGCACAGCTAACCAACAAGTTAGCGTCGCAAATGCTAAACAGATTTAAAAAAATTAGCAGAAGCTAATGCTAAAGCTTTAACTTTTATGATACACTGCTGCCGCTGACACTGTAAGATGTTGTAAGTGAACACAACTCAAAAGGGTTCTTAAATCACAGGTAAAGGTTCATGTCCCGTTCAGAGGTGAGCTTTCAGAAATTAATTTGGTTCATCTGAACCAAAGAGGCGGAGCAGAACTCTGCTGTGCTGAAGCAGAGTGATGCATTCAATGTGTGTCGGACGCCTCCCTCGTGTCATTGACTGTAATGAATTAACTCACTTTGGTGATCCTTTTTGTGGTTAACTACTTTTATAAACTACAACGTTTCTGTGCTCATCATCGATATTCTCTCGGTGATAAATCTGTTTGTATTAAAGTAACGACGTGTGAAGAAATGTGTGAGAGAGTCCCATCCCAGAGAAAATGTGAGAGTTGCAAAGCATGCTGGGTAGGAATTATGTGCGCAATGTTCTGACTGTTTACGATGTTTCTGAGTGTGAAAATGGTTTTTCATGTTAATTTCCTGTTCTGGTCTGTTTGGCTATAAACTGACGCCATGAGTCCGAGACTGTTTGCGGTAGGTTTGAGGGCGGTTGAAAAGCACTGTGAGGGTGATGATGTCACCAGTTGGCTCTCAGCTTTGTTTAGCTCTGCATAGCATGGCATCGCTGCATGTAAATCACCATTCTCCTGTGCACTTTTAGTGCAGAGAACTAGTGACGGGAACGGCGGCTCTTTTGAGTGAACTGAATCCCTAGAATCAGTTCATTAAAATGTTTCATTCAAGAGATTTGTTCACTGAATCCTTCAGTTCATGCAGTTTATTTGTGCAGAGTGACACAGCACCACTTCCAGCACCGTACTATGTGAAGGAATCACTCCTCAGCTGCAGTTCTCTGCGTGTGTGCATGTGCACATCGGCAGTACGTTCACAGAACGAATCACTCAGATGAAGTTCTTACTCGAGGGCTTGGGATGTAATTACTGAAGAAAGGTGAAACCTGTAACGGCCTCTTCGTCCTCACACGAGCAGCAACGAGTTGACCAAATTGAAAGGGTGTCGTATTAGGGAAGCAAAAACAAGCATTAGTTGTCAAATCCTCAAATGTTATAATCGGTGATGAGTTTGGGTCTTTCCTTTTCTCTTTTTCCAGCGCCAGCAGCAGTTCGGGGTCATTCCGAGCCCCCTGGTGAGGAGCGGCAGGCAGTTCTGGGCGTAACCCGAACTGGTCAGCATCGCTGGAGCACCATCAGCAGCCTGAGCTCGGACAGCGGAGTGGTGGGCCTCAGTGATGAGCGGGACGAGGAGGACCGTGAGCCCCGCCGTCACCGTAGGACGCGGGGAGCAGACGTCGAGCGGGTGGACAGCGGCATCGGTCCAGGGTTATCCCGCACTTGGAAGAGACCGTCCGCCTCTCTGAGAGCCTGGGAAGCCCAGAGACCGTGTCCCGACTGCGGGCTGAGGGACGGCGCTTCCAAAGAGCGAGGAGAACGGATGTGCGAACGCTGCACCAAGCTGCGCACCGAGCGGAAGGAAGCCATCCTGGAGTTCCTGAACACGGAGTCAAGTTACGGCGAAGACCTGCGCATCATCAAGGAGGAGTTTTACTGCCCCATGCAGAGTGCAGGTCTCCTCACAGCCGAGCAGCTCACTGTGGTGTTTAGTAACGTCCAGGAGCTCATCGACGTCAACGACCGCTTCACTGAACACCTGCAGGACAGCATCGACCAGGCCTTTGACCAGGTGCCTCACACAAACACATCAAACCAGCTGGGCTCAAACATCTCAGCTCTCTCACTGTGTGGGGGTTTCATTCTGTCAACTGTTAACAACTACCAGAACTATCGAACTGTCAAAGATAACGTAGTAAAACCATCTATATTTTTAAGTGTCTGAACCCTCGTGAGGACCTGATCAGACCTGACACTAACAAACATCCTGTTAGTGACGCACAACTGGACAGACTCCACCGTGCACACCTGGCGTTACAGCGGGTGTGGAGCGATCAGGTTGTTACCTTGTTATTTTGATATCAACACAGGTCAGAGTCAGTGGACATTTTAGCCTCTTTTGGGGGTGCACCCATAAACTTTTAACTCAGCACCCTGAAAAATAAAGAAACCATCATTAGGATTTTGTTTGTTCTCAAACCATAGATTCACCAAAAATATTGAATAAATTTGGAATAAAAATGGAATAAATGATGACGGTTTTAAACAGGAAGGTAAAGTCTATCATTTTTTGCACGAGTCGGATCCTCAACGCCGCCTGTCAATCAATCCAGTAGGCTCGTCAGCAACTGACCAATCAATGATCTCAATTTGTCCTGAAGTGACACACCCCTTACCTGCATGAGCTCCACCCCCTTTTCCTTCAATAACATTGTCAGGGTTTCGCGTTACGAATGGGAGACTCGTATTATCGGCACCTTTATTCAAACGACAGTTTGCAATGCAGATATTTTGCAATAGGCAAAGTGCCGAAGCATCATTAATTATTTTAGTGATATTTATGAATGGAACGTGTGTATTGTTTGTTTGCTTTATTTATTTGAAGAGTACATTGTAGTAGTTCAGTACAAAATGTTTGTATGTGTGCAAAGGGTGCAAACATACTCGTCTGACCCAAAGAAATAACTTTATTATTGAACTTAAATGGCCACCGCATTGTTCAAGTTCATTGTCAGCACCGGGGGCTACGCACCCCCTAAAGGCCAAATCCTAGAATCGCCCCTGGTCAGAGTCACTTGAGTTGTTTGCATAACTCTTGATAAGCTTCATTACCTAAATTACCCTTTGCAACATGAGAGAAATTAAAGGAGCGATGACTGGTGACATCACAGAGCTCCGTGTTCAAGAAGACTGACGATTTTAACACAACTCCACCGCAGTAAAACGTCCCATGATGCATCTGAATATCCAACTGTGTGCTGCTCAGGATGAGTTTACGTGATCGATACAGCACATTATAACCTAAAGTGACTGATGATCTACTGATCGGTAAAATCTCAGCACAACAAACATCTTTACTGAAGGATTCTGACAAGCAGTTCAATGAAACGTTTAGCTCGATGAGCAAAACTTGAATGACTAAGAGTTTGCAGTTCAGTTGTTTTTTGTGCTTATTGTTGTGGTTTGATTCCAGGGTGATGACGATCTGCTGACCGTGTACATCGGAGAAATCTTCCTTGAGTTTGTCAACATGCTGCCAGCTTTCCAGACCTACTGCCTGCAGCAGTCCGCCTCAGTCAACATGCTCAACACCCTGGAGAAAGAGAAAGAACTGCTCAGGTACAGGCTCTTCCTGTTGGCCTGCAGGCTGGAGAAGCGTTCTCTTGCTCCTGCTGCTCCGTGTGATTCTTTATGAGAAGACAGGGAGTTATCACTTATTTAGAGGAAGGTCTATTTTTGGAGTTGAGCTGCAATGATTCATGCTTTAAGACCGAAGCGCAGCTCGACAATGAATCAGGCTGTTCTTGAAGACTCATTAACTCACTTCTGGAAGTTCTCCCAACACTGAAGTTGTCTGTTTCGTTCTCGTTCCAGAATATTCCTAGACGTTTCCCAAAATGACAACACTGCACTGCGTCGGATGAACTTGCGCTCCTTCCTCATGGCGCCCCTTCAGCGTGTGACTAAGTACCCACTCCTGTTAAGCCGCATCATTAAGGTCACCCCTGAATGCCATCTCGACTATGCACGTCTCCGTGAGGCCAAGAGTCGGGTGGAATCCCATCTAGAACACATCAACATGAAGACCAAGCAGGAGGGTAACGGCGTCACGTGGTCTCTGCGCTCGTTCCGTCGAGATAGTCGCAAAAATCGGGAAGTTATAAACATTGAGATGAGGGAAGTGTCCATGAAGACGGTGGGCTGGGCGAGAGAAAACACAAGATTCGTCATGGAAGGACCTCTTCAGTTGTCCCAACCGGCTGACGCTCAGTGGGTGAAAAAGGGCAGCAAGGCCCTCAAGTTCCAAAATGTGCAGAGTCTTCTGATGGTGAGGACGCAGCAGGCTGGAGACGCCACCGGACAGGACGGTGGTGCACGGGGGGATCAGCAGAACAGTACCGGGGAGAGCGTCCGAGATGGAGTGCTGGTGCTAATCAAAGACAAGAGCAGCGGGAAGTTCACAGTGCTGAGAGAGCCGATCCGTCTGGGAAACTGCGTAGTGTCGTCTGATCCGGACTGCGAGGACACTTTTGAGGTTCTCGATATTCGCCGGGAGTCTTTTGTTTTCCGTGCGTCGGACAAATCTCGCACCCAGCAGTGGTTCCATCAGATCAAGAGATACGCTCGAGACTTGGGCACCTGGAGGAAAAGGCGAAACGCTTTGCCCAACATCATGATCAACACAAACCAGACGCGCTCCTGAGACCTAGCCTTCACACGTCCTTCTCACACTGTAAATAACCCGAACCTTTGAACTGCAGAAATCATCGCAACACCCCCGTCAGACGACAAAACCACAACAATCTGTCTCACAGTCTTGTGAGAAACACAAGCACTTTCTTTCTTACGGAGCGGTAAGTGCGCCATAAAATTGTGTACGTAGATTTATTTTAAGCAGTTACAGTTGAAAAAAAAAAAAAAAAGATGTACCAGATTCTTGAACGACCAAAAAACTTGGGCTGTACGAGCCTTGATTGTAAAAGACTGTTTGCTCTTCGGTACTTAAGGTATGTCTGATGAAAAGCATGACTGAATGCAAAAAGACAAATTGAAATTGTCACATTTTTATACGCGATAATGAGGATTAACAATATTTCTTTCTTGAAAAGCAGGCAGAAATGTCTTAAGGTCTTGGTTGGGTGGTTTGTTAGTCTCTCAGCCCTTTGCCTGTCTCTCTGCTGCCCCCTACGGTCTGTTGGCAGCGTGGCACGTTCACTGCCAAAGATGCTGAGCAGATCCTCCAGTGTCACTGTGTTTAACGAGACCTAAAGGAACAGCAATAATATCTGCCAGTTCAAAGATAAGTAGCTACTGGATATGCATTTCATTTTCCCGTTTGGAGTTCAGATGTTCATTCTTACTGCAGTACTGAGCTTCGTGGGAGATTTCACTGAAACCCGTTAGGTTGGTTGTCGTCTTCGAAGCCTTACGTCACCACGTGGAAAATGAAGACGTCTCTGATTCGGTCATTACAGCAGAGATGAACTCTGTGCCATGGAAGCACGTTTAAAACGTCTTGTTGCTTTTTTTGTTTTTCTGACTCGTTTCGAGTCAAGTGCAAAGTTTTTCAACCTTGTGGTTAAAGTAAAGCTGGACAAATGATTTCGTATACTAATTAATCGTTTCTCAATCTTCGATCTAAAATGTGAATAGAAATATTAAAAAATCCCCAGCGTAAAACCTAATAACCAGATTTATTTTATTTTTTGTGCAACCAGCAGTCTTTCAGCATTTAACAGCACGATAACCTCGAGCAAAGACACAGTGGCGTCACAGTATTATGGAATTAAACATTTATTTTTAAAAAGTACCACGTTGATTTTATTTAAAAATGAAAAATACTACCATCACTACTACTACTACAACATTGTAATATTTATATTATAGCTTTCTTTTTTAGCTATTAATAAAAATATTATTGATTTATTGCTGTTAGTTTTATTTAAATTTTAAAATGCTGACATAAAGGACCGAGAACCACTGACTAGACATTGTAGCAGAATTTGGAAGTTGAAGCTGAAAAACAAATAAGTGCCCCGTGTAGGCTGGCTGCATAGTAAGTTTTTATTTTTATTATTCCTCAGGTATTTATTTTGATGAAACTCCGTCAGATGAAACTCCGTCAGATGAAACTC